AATTTGTATCGTGTCGTGGTTATTTTTTTGATTGTTGAGTTATTGTAATGGGATTCTTGTCGTGAGTGTTTATGTACAAAGTGAGTTTTCTTCTGGAGCCACTCTTCCTGCCCATTTTTAGTTTTTTTTAGGGTACTTATGATCCTTAAAGTATGATTTTTGTGAGGTTAATCCTTATGGTATCAATTATTTAAATAATCTATCAGGTTTTTTATTGGAAGGGATAATACTTTATTATGTCCCTACGAAGTTCGAAGTCGATGTACTTGTATTGGATACATATCACCCTCTTTTTTGAGTTTACAAAAAATACATAATATCAACAAAAGCTCATTTAATTTAATTTTGAAGATATGAGTGTTATTTTTTACTCTTACATATAAAATTAATGTAAATAAATGAGTTAGTTATATTATAATATTGTAAATAAATTAATTAAATGTTGATTGTATTTTTTTTAATTGGTAAATATAAAATTTAATTTTATTATTATAGATATATTTTAGCTATATTCGTATCCATGTAATTGTATTTTATATCTATGCTTCTAGATTCTGATATAGATACGATGGTCTTAAATTATAGAAATTTTGAAGATGTGGCCCTACTTTCTACTTAGAAATAGAATGGTCGTCCACCACTTTCATTTAATTTAATTCATAGTTGAAGGACTAGTGGCTTCTTAAATTCTTATCAATAATGCCAGCAAATACAGTAACTGCTCTTCTTTAATCAATCTCTCATAAGTTATTAATTCGGTGTTTATTCAATTGTGCTACAATTTCATATACAGCAGTAACTATTCTTTATTTTTGTTCATGTATAACTTCAAATTACTATTACAATAAGCAATTTAACTAACATATGCAAGGGTAAAGAGAAGTCTGAGAGACGACACAAATAACCATTAATTTCGCATTAAAAAATGATATACAGAAAAAGATTCAAATAGTGATGAAGTGTACAAAGAATAAGAGCACATATCTGTGCAGCGCTTCTCTGATCAATTGTTACAGTTCCATCTTGAGGTAGGAACACAGCTCAAGTAATGGCACCAGCTGCAGTGATCATTTGCATTCTCTCCTCTGAAAACCATCACCAATCCCAACGTAAACCTGCAAAAATATGGAAATAAGTATATACCATGACCAAAGCAAATGTAGTGGTCACTTACTATAAAACTCAAGTCTTAGGGGTGTCATGCTGACCCGTCAAACACCCACAACATGAATTGAATTACAATGACACAACACGAAATTAGCGACATGCAGGTCACACGAGACACCCTAGCACAAGACAAGATTAAGTTAATAGAGCTTTACCCAGCGATCAGTAGAATTAAGGAAACCAGCAAGAATACAAGCTGGTAAATTGTATACTTGGACTTCATGCGAGCATCAGCTGGAAGATGCTGGCGCTCCAGCCAACCAAACTGGGGACGGAGTAGCAAGACAAAGCCAAGGAGAAAACCTGTCAAGAAACCTCCAATATGTGCAAAGTTGTCGACATGAGGTAGAATTCCAATCGCCAAGTTGATGAGAATGATGACCACGAGTGTAAATAAAGCTCCAGCCTACACAAGCAAATTACAAGAAATCAGCGATATAATACATTGGACAATTCTTGTTTCATTTCATGAACAAACTCATATGCTATTCTCCTCAAAAATGAAAAGAAAAAAATCAACCCCTTTATGCAAAATCAGAGGTTAGCAATAGTCACCTTGTTAGCATAAATTGTCCAGTTAGTAAGAAGCTCTGATAACATTGCTCCCAGAAGTCCAAATAAAGCACCAGAAGCACCAACAGAGATACTGCGTTCAATGAAAAGGGAAGAAAGTATACTCCCACCAAGTCCCGACAACAGGTAGATTACACCGACTAGCACTGCCATTTTTAACATTGGGCAAACAAACATGTAAGGATGCATACAAATCTTTAACAAATTAACAACCTAACCCTCAGAAGTTATGTTTCAATTGTCAATTCTAGTATTGTGCAAAAAGTTACGTCTAGAGGTTCTGTATTACAGGCCAATCCTACACTAATATCAATAGGAGGCATAGGAGAAGAAACACTACACCTAGGAATCAACGACACGGAAAACTTTGTTATAAATTACCCCTTTCTTTTTTAAGCTTGGGATGAAAGAAGTAAGTTCAAAATGGGATCAAGTATAGCAACCAGGGGTGTCCGAGAAATCCATGAGATCAAATCTATTCTACGTCAATTAGAGATGGAGGCACAAATGCTTCCACTTGAGTGTAGCAAATAAAGGGAGTTTTCTCCCACAAGAAATCCAAACCCAAGGAAAATAGCTCAGTCAAGCCCAAGTCTTTATTCTTTAACACATATTAAACTTGTTTCCGACACATCTACATAATGGGAAGTTTAGACTGCTTAGTGCTTTCCTACACCCTTATTTTATACTATGGAAAATTATGTTTATACTATGGAAAAGTATAGAACGGTAAGACAAAACATACCAAATCCAAATTGCTGTTCAAGGCGAATCCCTATGAATACCAAACTCAACATGTTAGTGAGCAGATGAATAACACCTGCATGCAACCAGATACAAGTTATAAGCCTCCATCCTTCATGTCCATGCACTACCTTGTTCCATTCAAGAGCTCCCAGTTTTTCCAGTCTGCACGAGTAAAGGCAAAATTAAAACTGGTGAATTCCAGTTGATAAACAACTACTTCGGCTAGCATGATCAGAATATGAACAAATTATGTGGCCCATTTCTGTTGCTGGTTTCATTTTCTTGTTTTCTACTCATGTTTCAGCTAGTGTACAAGTGTAACAAAAGAGTTTAGATATTTAATTGAATCTATTACCAATATACCCCATTTATCAAACTTATTTACCGATCTATTGTCGTTTTCAACTAATTTACCAAACTATCGTTGTTTTAAAAGCAGATTTGGCAAATCTGATTTCATGGGAAAAGCGAATTTGACAAATCTGACTTCATTTGTAAAGCGGATTTGACCAATCCGACTTCAATTGAAAAGCGAATTTGATAAATCCGACTTCATAGGGAAAGCGGGCATACCAAATCCGTCTTTATATGAAAAGCGGACATACCAAATCCGCCTTTATATGGATAGCAGACTTACCAAGGTGTAAGCTTTTATATGTATAATTGTGTTGATCGCCAAAAAAGTATTTAGTTATTTATTAAATACGTTTGGTCTCTTTGATTCTATATTCTTTGTGAATAAATTACTCACATTTATTAGTCATTAAAAATCCACTAATAAATCCTATCTAAATTTATTAGTTATAACCCGTGCCAGAAGGCACGATAAAATATAAAATTCGAGCATCCAAAAAATCGATCCACTATACTATTTTTTTTAAAATATATTAATTACAAATTAATCAAATATTAAAAAATTAAATATATGATAAAAATAAGTGATTTATTTTTTAGGGAGAAAATATATAAAATCAAGAATTTCGGGTGGTATCTCAGTAAGAAAAATAGATGAAATATTAAAAAACGAATTTGTTATGTTTGCTTTTTAAATGAAGTCAGATTTGATATGTTCACTTTCCCTATAAAGTTGAATTTGTTAAATTCGCTTTCCCTATAAAGCCGAATTTGTCAAATCCGTTTTTCAAATGAAGTCAAATTTTTTAAATTCGTTTTTCCCGTGAAGTCGAATTTAACAAATCTACTTTTAAAACAGAGATAGTTTGANGCCGAATTTGTCAAATCCGTTTTTCAAATGAAGTCAAATTTTTTAAATTCGTTTTTCCCGTGAAGTCGAATTTATGTTTAGATGAAAATTTTGTCTCTATCAAACTATTTATTCAACTTTTGCCGTCATCATTGATAAATAAATTTGATAAATTAGATAGATCGGTAATAGATTCTTTAATTTGACATCTAACAAATGTCATGTCTCCGCGAAGGAAGATATAAGTTAATTTAGAAGAAACTTTCCACTTGTTCAAGTTTGACTGAATTGAGTGGAACCTGTTCCATCAAAGTACTTGTGAATTGTCACTGCTAGAAATACGATTTTAGTACACAATTCACACACACACACACATGCAGCCCATTGAAAAACGTTAGGCACAACCAATTTGACCCAGGAAAAAAACATTTTGAAAAGATATGTACTATGTTAATCAATATAACAACCATCGTGGACAAATAGTATATCACAGAAAAATGCTACACGAAGAGAAAATTTTCGACGATCTTCAAAAGTTTTTCACCAAGCATCAACATTGGAAATGGAGATAAACTACATAAACAATCACAATATGCAATTGCTCAAAGGTGAAGAACATGATAGGGTTGATCACACACAACCAGTGCTAAATTTTTTTTGTCTTGACTACATTGGANGTGGGAGGAGGAATAACGAAGGAATGGAAAAATACAAAGGAAGCCCAAATTCAATATTATTCTCATATGTACTGAAAGAAATTGCCATGTAACTTCCACACAGTAAAAGATGTGGAAACATAAATTGTGTTCACAACAGCAAAACAAGAAAACACGATATCATATGAAATTGAGGAACCATTCCCATCGCTTGCCCAGTGGTATGAGTAGACCCATATTTCTAGAACAGATGATCCTAATATTGAAGAGTGCTGCGAAAAACGAAATAAACTGATAAAAGGATGAACCACCCCATACAATTATATTTTCCAACCCACAGGACAAACTCCTATAGAACATTGTAATGCCTGCAATGAATCCAAATCAAGTCAAAAAAAAACTAAAATCTGTAAAACGTTTCTACATAAAATTCTCATCTCCCACTTGAATGAGCATATCCTTGATCAACAAATAATGCTCAAAAAAAATTCTAAAGCATAAAAGACCCAAAAAAATTTCAATAGAAGAGTCAATAGCGAGCTTAAATTTCAACAAGCCAATGAAAATTTCAACCACCACAAATTCATGCTGAAGACTCTCAATCTATTATTCAGGTCTAAACCAAGTCCAATCAACGATTCAAAAGAAGGAAATTTAGGGCATAGCTGCAACAACAACAACAAAAAAACAAGATAATTACCCACACAAACATGTACCATTATGCAACTGTATATTGTGTGAAACCCACAATCCCAAACTCGAGTAGAACATGATCAATCAATCATTAAATCAATTTCGACGTACACCTCAATTAAGTGAGGAAAAATCACAAAATCTAAGAAATCCACGAGGCTAAACTTATGTAAAAGATTTGCAGTCAATGAATTAATCTCCATCCGAGTCAAACAGCTAACAATAACACAAATCAAGAGATGGTTATGAACGAGAGAGAAAACTCACGTCGAAGAAGAGGGGCCAAAGAGAGGATTCTCCTTAGTAGGCTCAATAGAAAGTCTTCCAAGAAACCTAGCCACACAGTCCCCTTCGCGCCCAAAAATGTTCTTGGGGCAATTGTTGACGTACATAATCACAAAAAACATAGCAACATTAGCCACCGCAATCACTGGGACCAACCATGAAGTCCATTGAGTCTCTGTTGACTCTGCATAAGAAGAAGAGTAATATGTTGGTGGGTACGTGTTGTCTCTGCTCTTTGTTCCTCCTCTGTTCTCCAGATCTCCATTGGCCCTCATTTTCTCGCTCTCCCCTCTAGGTTCTCCGCTCTTCTCTCTTCCCAATAAATCTCTCTTTCTCTCTCTCTCTCTCGCTGTGTGTGTGTCTGCGTAATATATGTATAAATAGGGAAAAGCTGAACTGGAGAAGTAACTTTGAAGGGAGTCGTTGAAGCCTTCAACAGAATGCAAGTATTGGTAGAGAGAGAGAGTTTAAGGTTGTCCCAGTGCAGATTCACCTGCAGAGATCAACAAGAAGGTGGCTCCATGGTGATATTTGGTTGGTTGTCTATTTTTACGTTACGGAGTCGTAGTGTTGATAAAGTTTCCTGGTTCTCTTTATTAGCTCAACTACTTAGAACTTTTATTAGGGGATAATATAATTATGGGCTAATCTCATTTTGCCCGGATATTNTCAACTACTTAGAACTTTTATTAGGGGATAATATAATTATGGGCTAATCTCATTTTGCCCGGATATTTCGATTTTTAATTTTTATTATTAAACATTAAAAATTTTAATTTGTATCCTAAATATTATAAATTTATAGTAACGTGGATCTGACTCAAATTACTGTTTAATTTTTTATCATAAATTAAAACACGCGAAATATAAGTATTTCGGGTATGAGGATGAAATACGTTCATTACTCAAGATATCTGTCTGCAATCAATTTAACACCACTTTTTGTATCAAAAATAAGGTTTCATTAATTAGACAGTANATTTTTAATTTTTATTATTAAACATTAAAAATTTTAATTTGTATCCTAAATATTATAAATTTATAGTAACGTGGATCTGACTCAAATTACTGTTTAATTTTTTATCATAAATTAAAACACGCGAAATATAAGTATTTCGAGTATGAGGATGAAATACGTTCATTACTCAAGATATCTGTCTGCAATCAATTTAACACCACTTTTTGTATCAAAAATAAGGTTTCATTAATTAGACAGAGTGCATTCATACAATACACCAACAATGTTTGAATATATACAAAAGTTCATGTCTAAAACACTTGTAATTCACGTGTTTTAATTTACGAAAAATTGAACGACAATTTGAACGAAGTTTATATTACTCCCAATTTATAACATTAATGATATAAATTAAATTTTTTAATGTTTAATGATGTAAATTAAGAATTGAAGTATCTTTCAAGATACAAATAGACAACCTTATATTCTTGTTTAATTTATCTGTCACGCGAATTGATGCCAAACAAGTTTTTTTATGATTTTTTTTTTGTTGTCCACATCAAGTAATTAATNAAACACTTGTAATTCACGTGTTTTAATTTACGAAAAATTGAACGACAATTTGAACGAGGTTTATATTACTTCCAATTTATAACATTAATGATATAAATTAAATTTTTTAATGTTTAATGATGTATATTAAGAATTGAAGTATCTTTCAAGATACAAATAGACAACCTTATATTCTTGTTTAATTTATCATCTGTCACGCGAATTGATGCCAAACAAGTTTTTTTATGATTTTTTTTTTGTTGTCCACATCAAGTAATTAATCGATGTCGAAAATAGGGAAAAGATTGACCTTTGTCTTACAAGTGTTTTTTTGGACTCTCTCTCTCTCTCCGCCTAGTGGGAACCATCGACATTTGTTGCTTAGTTTTTTTGTTCTACGATACAAAACAAGCAAAAAGTCAGACTTTGCCAACTGTAAAAGGTTGGCGAATTCACAGCTCAGTCCAACCTGAGTAATGCTATTCAAGCTTTTAAAATTTTGATTTGTTTACGTAATAATAAAGTGTGTCATCGAATAGAATTTAAAACATTGAAATACTGTTTACTTGACACATCATTAAAATAAATCTATTATAAATCTATCCCATTTATCAAACTTATTTACTAATCTATTACCGTTTTTAACTTATTTATCAAACTACCACTGTTTTAAAAGCGGATTTGACAAATCTGACTTCATGAAAAAAGCGAATTTGAAAAATCCGACTTCATTTGAAAAGCGTCAAAACGAATTTGACAAATCTGACTTTATAGGGAAAGTGAACATACCAAATCTGATTTCATTTAGAAAGCAGACATACCAAATCCGTTTTTTAATATTTCATCTAATTTTCTTACTGGGATACCACCCGAAATTCTTGACTTTATATATTTTCTCCCTCAAAAATAAATCACTCATTTTTATCATATATTTAATTATTTAATATTTGATTAATTTGTAATTAATATATTTTTAAAAAATTTAATATAGTGGGATCGATTTTTTAGATGCTCGAATTTTATATTTTATCATGCCTTCAAGNTATTTAATATTTGATTAATTTGTAATTAATATATTTTTAAAAAAATTAATATAGTGGAATCGATTTTTTAGATGCTCGAATTTTATATTTTATCATGCCTTCAAGCACGGGTTATAACTAATAAATTTATATAGAATCTATTAGTGGATTTTTAATAACTAATAAAGGTGAGTAATTTATTCACAAAGAATATAGAATCAGAAAGACCAAACGTATTCAACAAATAGTCAAATACTCTTTTGGCGGTCAACACAATTATACATATAAAGGCTTGCACCTTGGTAAGTTTGATTTTCATATAAAGGCGGATTTGGTATGTCCGCTTTTCATATAAAGACGGATCTGATATGTCCGCTTTCCCTATGAAATCGAATTTATCAAATCCGTTTTTCAATTGAAGTCGAATTTATCAAATTCGCTTTCCAAATGAAGTTGAATTTGTCAAATTCGCTTTTAAAACAACGGTAATTCGATAAATAAATTGAAAACCGCAGTAGATCGATAAATAAATTTGATAAATGAGATATATTGGTAATAGATTCTCATTANGAGTAATTTATTCACAAAGAATATAGAATCAGAAAGACCAAACGTATTCAACAAATAATCAAATACTCTTTTGGCGATCAACACAATTATACATATAAAGGCTTTCACCTTGGTAAGTTTGATTTCCATATAAAGGCGGATTTGGTATGTCCGCTTTTCATATAAAGACGGATCTGATATGTCCGCTTTCCCTATGAAATCGAATTTACCAAATCCGTTTTTCAATTGAAGTCGAATTTATCAAATTCGCTTTCCAAATGAAGTCGAATTTGCCAAATTCGCTTTTAAAACAACGGTAAATCGATAAATAAATTGAAAACCGCAGTAGATCGATAAATAAATTTGATAAATGAGATATATTGGTAATAGATTCTCATTAAAATACTATTAAACTTTTTCATTGAAACACTGTTTACTTGACACATCATTAAGTCAATAAATTATATCAATTTTTTAAGTTCCAATAACATTACTCCGAGCTTATTATCATCACCAACATGAAACTTCATTAACAATGAACTTAATAATGAAAATTTTTTAATAAAATGGTCTTCTGATCATAACAAGCACTCAAAACCTATTATAATATATACATATGGTTTTTGATTACAAATGGACTTGGTCCACACGGTTTGTAGACAATAGAAAACATTTTTTTTTTAATTTCAATGGTCAGCGATGTTTGGACCATTTTACACGCATATCAATTAATCCCCTCTTCAGTTTAGTCAAAGACAAATCATTTATCCCCAGACTACGATTTTCATGAGAAATTTACAAACCACATAGACTAAGTTCAACTCACATAGGAAGCCGAACAGCTCTTCTTTCACCAAAGGATGGGATGCAAAATAAGTGTGGGTGTGTAAAGCAAAATGAACTTGAATGGTCGTAACCACATACTTTTCGATTGCAGGACACCTCACCTTTTTTTGGAAAATGTATAGTTCACCTCAACATTTTAAACACATTCTTCGTAATCTTCTTTTCACTTTCCACCTGGTTGGCGAGTCACACGTACAAAAAGTACACTAATGGGAGACAAGGAGGATCATTAATGTTGTTTAGTCTCCTCTACCCGAAGAACCAATTGTGTTTTCTTATGTAGGTTTTTTCCTATTATTCAACCAAATATGAACGGAGAAGAAAGATAAGCCGAGCAACAGGGAGGAATTTCTGAAGTCAATAAATCATGCTGACTGATATCCTCCAATTCAATAATAGTCCTCTCGAGAAATAACCAAAAACAGATGCCGGTAAACAGAAAATTCATATCATCCCTACTACCTGGCCATCGAAGAAAGAGCATTATAAAGTCAACAAGGATGATCATCGTTTTCCACCACCACCTCCAAGCTTAGGACCCTTTGGAGCAGCCCCCTTGGACACATTACTCTTGGCGGACTTTTGTACCTTCGCCATCACTTCTGCTTTCTTTGCCTTCTTTTCATCTTTGGTTTTCTTGATCCTCTCCTTGATTTCTCTGCGAATAACAAATAGATTAGACAAAGAGTACAAATGCAGCTAATGTCAGTCAATACTGAACTCAGCACGTAGACAGCAGAATATCATTTAAAAATTCCACACAGCATACCGCAAAGCAGCCTCACGTGCAGCATCTCGGACTTCTGGCTTCTCAGTCCTCTTCTTCTGTATAACTTCCAAAGTGGCACCAACTATTGACCTTGAATAAGGCTTCTTGGTGGTTCGGCGCCTCTTCTTTATAGTTTCAGCAGCAATGTCCTATAGGTGAGCGACAAAATCCATTCAAGGCAGATTAGGAAGGCCCAGATATGTTGAAGAACAAAAGTCCTTTGGAAAAGGAATTAAAGAAGCAAGATAACTCAATGAAAAAAATGAGCAGTATAATATAAATTACCTTCTTATGCTGTTTCCTGTACATCGCAGTCCAGGTAAGTTTTGATGGCTTTAGGCGGTTGTGGAAGTACCTCTTGCATTTTGAATTGGCAAAGAGGAAGACCTTCAATTAACAACTATCGATAAGTCAGGTGCAAAGAAATGAACGCAGAGGAAACTAAACAACCCCTATACTGCTTAAAAACCACACACATGAACAAACACAGAAATTGCAGAAACCCACAACCACTAATTCAAGATCAAACATTGTAAAGACCACTAACATAACTCACCTGCGAGTCTGAACGAACAAATCTGATGCCCTTGCCAGGGTAGATCTTCGCACCACTGAAGCGGCAAAGTTCAGTCCTGCCATTGCCAAGATTAAGTACTAAATTAACGAGGAGTTGATAAAATTAGAGATATTCATGAACAAAAATTTCTAGTTGGAAAAGGTCTGCATTGCCTAGTTCCTAAAAATGACAAAAAGAAGGCAGATATATGATTGCCGTGGGCAGAAATAATCCTACAGTCTTGAAATCATCAGTTGCTTCCTTACCGAGAGTGGGCCATAAATACAAACTAATAAATGCATACACCATATCGAACAAATTACTAGGAATAATGAAGTATCCTGTCCAATACTGCTATCCTTACTCTTGAAAACAAATGAAGAATTAACATGATATATGTGCATGCTTCCCCAAAAAATAATAATATGCCACCTACCCCCCCGGGGGGCTAGAGCGGAGGTAGGGAGCGGGGTAATTAATTACCAAATCCTACTACAATAAATCTAGACAGGGTAACTAGACCCCAATGCTTGTCATGAAATAGAGGCCACCTTTTGATAGTAGTAGAAATTATCTTGACAACATAATCCAAAGGCTTGGGAGCTTTGGTTTACGACATACGTCAGGAAAGATCAACGATAATATAAGAATTTGCTAGTTCAATCAATTGCCAGAATTTTCTAACTCAATCAACATACACTGATTAGAACTCCATAAAATTTTTTGGTGAAATGAATTGCTTTGAGAAGAATTTGTTTCTTGGTACTTACTAAACTAGGTTAATTTGAGGTAAACAAGCGGGCTACCTTCAAATGGAACAATTTCTGTCTGGTGTTTTTCCCCTTCCGAAAAAAGTACAAGCAACTAGTAGCTCCCATGAAAAACAGTGTGGAATTTGTTGTCAGAAACACATCTCAAATCACTAGGTGAAAATGCATTGATCAACAAACAAGTTTGGTATCATGTTCAGCTCTTAACTGCAGTAAAATTCCGAAATATGGAAATCCCAAGGCAATTTCTTGGCCCAGCTCTTGAAACCGAGATAGCTCATGAAAAAACTAATCCATAAGGACAAAAAAACAAGAGAGAGCAAAAAATTACAGCATTGTCGTGATCTTAAATTTTGTCAACACATCCTATAGTTAAATTGTTCTGAAATATACTTTTTATGGCACGATGTCCGTTTTAAAATAAATTCCAAATCTGCTAGAGAAAAAAATACACAAATTTTTTTGGGTCCTTAGATTCAAAACAAAATTAGGGAATATCAGACAACAAATGAAATCCACGTAAAAGAAAGCAGCATTTCCACTGGCATCCAGATTTCATATCATCTTTTATACATAGGAAACAAGTTTCCACGAGACATATATAATACAGGTACATACACACAGTGTGTGCAGACAAACAGAGAGAGAGAGAGACGTACTTGAGAACCATGGTCGCTGCTGCCGGTCTTGATGAATTGGCGGCTCTTCTTTACTCCGGAATTGTCAGAAACCCTAACTACAAAAGTTAACTACAAGATTTTGGTGATTTTTGCGACAAGAATACGACGCAGTTTCGGCGTACTGCTGGCATTTGAGTCTACTTGGACCGTGTAATGACGTGGCGGCTACTAAGCCCAACTCCAAGGCATTAGGCTTTTCCCCGCTCAAAGGCCCAAAATATTGAGGATCTGTCAACGGTGGGTACTGGTTCCATCCTCAAAAAATTATTTTTAGATATCATATATTTTTTTATTAATAAATAAGATAATAACACACGTAATTTTTTTATTTTTTTATTATTTATATTATCTATTACTATAAATAAATTAAAATAAAATTTACAGATAAAAAATATTTTTGACATAATATTAAGAAATCCCTTTTAGATGCCGCAGTGTTACCCCTGGACTAGAAAAGATTAACTAGATCGAGACCCACCCATCCTGCATTTGTTGCTTGGCTAAGCAAGAAGGTTACGAGGTAGTGATGAGTTTCACACACTCTAAGCCCAGACACGATACCATACTATGTGTCAACAATCTCAATCTGGGGGAAGGGATGGAGAGTTTTAGTTATGCTTCCAACGTCATGCATTTTGGCCAAGCAATCCAGCGTGTTTGAAAAATAATAGCAACTTTCTTTCCCTAATGTCAAAAGGTTATACATACATATAGTAAGTAGCTTCAGATTTCGAAACAAAATAAGGGAGTAACAGACATTTCAACCAATGTCTGTCAATGACAAAAATGACTCAAAATATGCAATGTTTGCTATCTCCTTATGCTGCTTTAGCTGTCTCCCGAACCAGTGCAAGCTTAGCCAGTAGACCACATAACTGAAGATATGAGCCAACTCCATCACAGATTCTCATATGGGCAAATCCAGTTTCCTGCAACCGATAGGAATAGAGGGAAGTTGTGGCATTGATAAGAGAATCTAGAAAGAAAACTCACATATTAGCCTGACACAAAATCCATACCTTCATGAATTCCAGTTTCAGATACTCAGCCATATCATAGTTCTTAATGATTCGGAAAAAGGTTGTGATTATGTCAGTAGGCGAATAGCCCAGATCATAGAGCTGCTTCAAACCAGAACAAGCATCATCAAATTTCCCCTCAAGTATGTTGCGCACAATATTCTTTACATGCAACGGATGCGGCTGGTCACAGACCTGAAAAACACAAAAACTTTGAAATTTACAGAATATTTAAGAACAAAAGAGGCAACCCTGTGCACGAGGCTCCCACCTATAGAGTTTGAATATATTGTTGAGATAAATACCAAAACAGGATATATATATATATATATATATATATATATATGACTCAAACCTTGAAAACGTTTTCTTGGTTGACAAACCGAAATCCACTATATGTGGCTTGCAAGTTATTTAGTGCCTGTCTCATATCACCATCAGCAGTGAAAATAATTGCTTCAAGGCCTTCTGGAATATAGGGAACCTACAATGGAAACAAAAAATTTATTATATCCTATCTAATATAAATCAAGCCATTCAGAAAAACAACCAGCATGACAATTCATTAGAGGTTTGGAAGGGTCCCATGCCAAAGGACACCTTAACATGTTTGTGATCATAGGCAAGAGAGTTTCCTGTAAGCTTCTGGCATGTGACCTTTTAACAAAGTGTTTCCCTTTGTATCACAACACAATTTATCGGGTACCTTTTCTGCTTCAACCACCACCATGAGACGGCTGAGGATCTCTTGATCAGATAATCTGCCAAACCGAACAAGGGCACACCTACTTTGAATAGGCTCTATTACTTTAGAAGATGTGTTGCAAGCAAGAGCAAAACGAGTAGAGTTTGAATATATTTCCATTGTCCTCCTCAAGGCTTGTTGTGCTCCAGATGTCATGCTAATTATTTGTATCCAATATAGCAATGGAATCCATCATCCCACAAAACAAAAGTGACACACAGAAACAAATAAAATTGCAACCAGAGTAAGAAATCCAATATATTAGTTCAAATTGATCAAAAGACGCATGAGATCAACAGCCAATCATCATAATGCTCACAAACAAGAATGAATAGATGAAGGTCCACTTTCAGAAAATTACCACCACTGACCTGTCAGCTTCATCCAAAATTATTATTTTGTGCCGCCCGAGGGGTAGAGTAACTTTCTTTTGGGCAAACATCTTAATCTTGTTTCTCACAACATCAATGCCCCTAAATGAGATGGAGTGAAGCGATAATAGATGAGTTCAGTAAAAAGTAATCAGAAAATATTGCAGAACTTTGAGCATAGGAGTTCATTGGTTTTTTTCATACCTTTCATCAGACGCATTTAGCTCTAAAACCGCCTCCCTAAAATTTGGCCCCAGGAGTTCATGTGCAAGAGCTAATATACTAGTGGTTTTACCAGTTCCAGGAGGACCCTGAAATACAGCCGATCTTCTTAGTAAAAGTAAAATAATAGCTCATAATGTAGCACTGAGTAAATAATACGGTGTGCATGCATTTTTCCACATTATTTTAACTTCAGTCCACTGATTCTTCTTTAATTTGCCAACAAAGTAACAGAAAGAACATATTAAAAGTTGACACTTGCATTCCATAATTTTTTATTAGGTTTTATAAAATTAAAAGTTGATACTTGCGTACCAGAAAGAACAAATTAAGTTCAATAAAATGCATGCTGTTGACTCTATAAATCTTAGATAAAAAAGAAACAGAAAATTCTGTCTTTCCCTTTCTTTGCTTCTTTAACTTCGAACAAACTGAGTAAAGGTGAAATTCAATTGAGTTGTCATTCTGAGGGCATATATAATACTCTTTGCAGGTTCTAGGTTTCCGTTTTTCTGATCAGTAACATAATCACTTCTTTAGTGTAAAGTAAACAGAGTATAGGGAAATCCAATTAACTTGCTATTCTGAGGGCTCGTGTATCGTGGTTTGTGGTTTCTAGGTTTTCGTTTTGCTATTCTGGGTGCTCGCAATTAGGAAAACAAGAATGTAGGACCCACATGATGAATGGACATGAAAAAGACACCAACCAATGCTAAAATTTTCACGTCACATCTCTGACCATTTCTACTCAATCTTCCCACTGGAGTATAGCATTAATACCAATAACAATTTTCAGTTACAACGCTGCATTGGGCGCAAGCATGGTCGATAAAAAAGGCACATTTTTAATTCTCACTCGGTCCAGCATCCAGATGACCAGTATACAACAATCAAGAAAACGTCAAGACCAAGTAAAGTGCATGTCCCAAGAAAAATTTAGCATCAACCAAGGTTGTGACATCATATTCACTTGATCCCACGTGTTCAAATGACTAATCTAGAACGAACAAGATGATGTTTAGACCAAATAAATCCTTATCATCGTGCTCGAAAACTTGGAATCCACACCTTGGAATGGGAATTGAATGAGACATAATTCATATCTAGACTGACTTTGTTCTGTTCTAGGGCATGGATTCATGCCTTGGGTTGGAATTGAAGGTTTCGCCTAATTCAATATTCAACTGACTTGGTTTCGTTTCCAATTCCAAGCCATGAATTATGCTCCCAATCACGGCATAATTGCAGCTATCATCACTAAGAAACACATCAGGGCTTTTATGAAAAAACCCCAAATCAAATAATTTCATAATACACAACATCAAAATAAAACTGCTTGTACATTACCCCCATGTCAACTTCAACTCAAATCTCACACAATCATAACCCAAAATCGTTGAACAAGAATATATTCACGACATATGGATCCATACATGAATGTGGGCTAATCATATAACCACAGCATGCATTGCACACTCTAATTGGTGCGCATTTCAAATAGATTAAGACAGTGAATACAGGCAGTGGGAGGGTTTGCTTACGGCTAAGATGAGGTTGGGCATGTTGCCGTCACGTGCGATGACTTGAAGCCTCGAGACGGCGTCTTCGTTGCCGACGATGTCGGCGACTTTGGTGGGTCTGTACTTCTCAACCCACGGAATATCGTAGCCGTGGCTAGACACGGACGAAGAAGAAGAGGCCGCCATTGCCGTTGTAGGAAGTGAGGTCACAGAGAATTCAATGGATATTAGCGACCTCTGATGAAAGTGAGAAACCCTTCCCAAACCCTCCCATTTGTGGAGGGAAATTGGAAATGGGGATGCACAGTAAAATAAAAATAGAAGGCCTTCTTCTTTACACTATTCTCTAAATAACCCCGTACTTTTTGTAATTATCCCACTATTTTCAAATTACCACTAGCATCCTTTTAGTTGGGGTGAAGAAAGGGAATAGACAATCCAAATGAGTAGTTAAAGTGGTAATAGGGATAAGTTGTAAATTTAGGTGTTTTAAGATTGAATATTGACAATTTTTTAAGACTAGATCATGAGAGATTATCCCTCGTACCCTAATTTCAGTGTGAATGGTATACCTTTGACTGTAGGTGTTAATCGAAACAAGTTACTCAGCTTGAGTTCGACTAGTATTTTAAACGAGTTGAAATCAAATAATTTTTTAGTCTCGTTTAAAAAAATGAACTTAAAAAAATTTAACTCAAACTCACAAAATTCGGTTAGTTTATATATAAAATAGTCAAGCTCGACAATCTTGGACTCAAACTTGCAAAGCTTGGTTGGACTAACCATCCTACCTTTGATCGGACCGAGAAGAGTATTAGTCGAAGTGCATGTAAATTAATCTGAATACTCCTGATTGTTAAACAAAAATAAAAAGAAAAAAATATATTTGAACTCACGCTTATGGCGGCATGGCCCCCAATNCATCCTACCTTTGATCGGACCGAGAAGAGTATTAGTCGAAGTGCATGTAAATTAATCCGAATACTCCTGATTGTTAAACAAAAATAAAAAGAAAAAAATATATTTGAACTCACGCTTATGGCGGCATGGCCCCCAATCAGAGTAAATATTGAATATAACAGTGACACCATGTCACCATTGATGACATAGTACCACCGACCATAATAAAGCTATAACTAGGCAAGGTGAACCCCACTTAGACTTATATGGAAGAAAAGTGAAAGTTATTTGCTTATATAAAATGTTAGTTATTAATTTTTTTTTGTCCATTTGATGATTTGTTTAATAACATTGGTTGATGATACCACATTACCTTACCATGTGATATCATCGTTGCAATAAATATTTTCTACCCCCACATGAACCCAACAAGTTTGCTTTTAGGAAATTTAGAAAATATGAGCTTATTAAATTTGGATGACTTCTATAATATTTTATGTTTTTAGCTTAAATGAGATTTTTTTTTTGTGATTTCATATAGACTAATATCTTCCTGTTATTCAAGAGCGATGACAAGTTTAATTCTTATCGAGTTAGTAATAGGTAAAATTTCAGTTATGTTGCTAATATTTAATAACAAATGAAAACAATAATTTCCATTGAACTCCATCCAACTCGTAATGTTAAACAACAATTAATAACTTATTTTTCTTAATTTGGTCAAGTTTGCACCATAAATAATTATGACAAATTTTACTTTTTTAAGTACAATTTGGTGTTGATCTCTTATTTATAAACTCAAAGAGTCANATTGGTTGGCGCAAACCTAGTAAGAATTGGGCTAATATTAGAATGACCAAAAAATGAAACTAAATAATGTGATATTATTATAATTGTGTTGTTGGTTTTAAAAAATAAATTTGTCTAATTATGATAATATCACATAATTTAATTTATATTTTTATCTCATTTTTTAATCAATGTAACACAATTTAATGCTTTCTTCTCCTCACTATAAAATATCTATAATACTCCTTAATTACTCATAATTATCCATAAATTTTAATCCTTGTTTGTCCCTTTTAGATTTAATTCTTTTGGAATCACGAATATCATGTGCAACCACCCCTTTGTTAATTAAAAGACCACCGTTGGTGTATTGTAATATTGAATCAAAACCAAACTTATATTATATTCCACAATTGATGATTTAAGAGAATATAGTACAACTGATTTGTAGGTAAACCGCAAATAGCGGCATCCAAACGCTAACAGCCTAGCGTGACAACTGCTTTTAGTCCTTCTATCGTTGGTATACTACGGACTCATTCGATTGTCCTATTAAAAATAGTGAATTATTTAAAATAATTCAGTTTAATATAATATTACAGAATAAAAGGTAAGATTAAATCAGGTATTAGAATAATACGTAATTTTATCTAGTGTTTGATAATACACAACATAAACATTAGATTGTAATTATTTAATCCAATTGGTTGTTTAGTTAAAGAATTATTTCATTGTATTAATGTTGAATTAATAAAAATACCCTCAATCAGTGTTTATTACATTTATAACAACTTAATTTTATCTGTTTGAGGGTTATAAAAGTAATTGAGTAGAATAATACATTTTAATTTGATTATAATACCATATCTCTTGGTGGTATTAAAATACTTATATTACCAGCTCTCTTGGTGGTATTAAAATACTTATATATTACAGGTCTATCGTATAAAAAATATACGATAAGTATACGCTTTTAAAATTAATACGATATCAAATTTGTTTACCAAACAAAGTATTAGGCCCGATTAAATAAAAAATAGTACAATCCAATATTTAATCCCCTCATAATACGTCTACTAAACGAGTCATGCGAGTAACTCGTGCTCGAAGGTATGGTACAATGTGAATGATTTCGAGAGAAATATTATTGTTGAGCCGTTAAATGAATTTATTTGATACCGTCATATGAGCGTATTAAAACTTGTCATGTATTATATTATATATTGTTATAGATACTTAATATAATGATTATACTAAATTATTAATGTTACATCATATAATCAATCAATTGATAATTTTATAAAATGTATTACTTATTTAATTATTTATTACTAATCAATTATATTGCATGACGGTGATAAAGTGGTGTATCCATTAAATAGATTATTTTTCTCAAATTTATTTTGATGTTGATTTCATTGTCAATGCCTATTTATTGGTGTCAAAATATAACACGATTCTATGAGTGACGTAAATAAAAAAAATATATATATGACACGATTTATATATATATTAATTAATATTAATTATATGCGATTCATTAATTATACGAATTCGATTTATTAAAANCATTTATGACTCCAATTTGATATTATATTTCCTAAATTCTTTTAATTATATATTATCAGCCACAAAACTTGAAATGAGATATACCAATGATACTACGATCATGCACTCACATGTTTCTGATTGTCTATAGTTATTAATTAATGTAATTGCTAATTGAATGTTTAAAATGTGTAAATAGTCCCTTAATTTACTAATGAATATCTTTTTAATTCGAAATGTACAATCCAAACATTTACTATCAAATGACATTTGATATACAAAATTTATAGCCTGTTTGGTATCAGGGAAAGATGGAAGGAATATAATTTCTTTTGTTTGGTTGCAGAGGAAAAATGAAAAGAAAGGAAAAGTGAGTTGGAAGGTAATCCCCTTAGCACGCCATCTTTAATCACTCCAAATTTGAGTAGAAACCGGAGGAAAAAGTGCAAAAGGTTAGATTCAGGGGATTTAGACCTCATCTATTTCCTTTTTCTCTTTATTTTTTTTTTAATATAGTATTAGATAGGTGACATATGTAAAATTTTACATAGACAAGTTTTTTTCCTTATAAAAAAATATTATTAACTATGAACAAGATTTTAAATTTCAATGAAAAATTTATTTGAAAAAAAAAGAATAATGGAGGGGATCCAATTACGGACTGAGGCATCTATAATTTAATTATTGACCCATCATTTTACAGATTCCATATCACGCAACCCAACAGAATGATAAGCACGGGGTCGACATCAAAATTATGCTGCTAGTCATTATAGTTCAATTTTGTATAGATTATTTATTCGAATTCCAATACTAGTCATTATAGTTCGAAATGTGATCAATTCTTAAGGGATATAAGAAGTGTTAAATTTGAAACTTCTAAATTATTGAATACTATACTTAGTTACTGAACCACTCTTAATAGTTGCCTATGTTGAGTTTATTTTATAAGCATATAATTTACTGTTGGATGTCACAATCATATGACATTAATAAATACTAGGAAAAAAAATATATGTATGTATACCCCACCGATTAAGGGAGAGGGATTGTTTGAAAGTAATGACAATGTACAAAATCGTCTTATATAATATCAACAGTCAAGTGTATGACAGTGTTATTAATGAGACAATTAATAAATCAATTAATGACAAAAGATAAATATTGAGTTAACACACAGATATATAGTAATTCGATCCGAGTAACCTACTCTACTTCAAAAAATGCCAACAGTGACTAGAGAACATTTATTAATTAATAAAGTAAGATAGAGAAAACTCCGGAAGATGTACAATAGCTGGGAGAAAAAAATACTATGTGTGGGGTGTGTAAAGATGTGTCCTCTCGTGTGAAGAGGATTTACAATTTATAGGCATTGAATCTTAGTTGAGACAGTGACGTAAAAGTAAACACACTAGTCATTTGGGAGAATAATTACAATAGGTAAGTTCAATTAAAAATAACATTGATCTTCGAGAGTGAATATCTCGTTGATTACTCTTCATGTGCTATAATCTTTTGGGACCCCTTGGACCTTAGAGCGGGTCAAATTGATGAACTGTGTTTAACCTGCTTTGTGACTGATTTAGGCTCCATTAATTGGTTGGCGCAAACCTAGTAAGAATTGGGCTAATATTAGAATGACCAAAAAATGAAACTAAATAATGTGATATTATTATAATTGTGTTGTTGGTTTTAAAAAATAAATTTGTCTAATTATGATAATATCACATAATTTAATTTATATTTTTATCTCATTTTTTAATCAATGTAACACAATTTAATGCTTTCTTCTCCTCACTATAAAATATCTATAATACTCCTTAATTACTCATAATTATCCATAAATTTTAATCCTTGTTTGTCCCTTTTAGATTTAATTCTTTTGGAATCACGAATATCATGTGCAACCACCCCTTTGTTAATTAAAAGACCACCGTTGGTGTATTGTAATATTGAATCAAAACCAAACTTATATTATATTCCACAATTGATGATTTAAGAGAATATAGTACAACTGATTTGTAGGTAAACCGCAAATAGCGGCATCCAAACGCTAACAGCCTAGCGTGACAACTGCTTTTAGTCCTTCTATCGTTGGTATACTACGGACTCATTCGATTGTCCTATTAAAAATAGTGAATTATTTAAAATAATTCAGTTTAATATAATATTACAGAATAAAAGGTAAGATTAAATCAGGTATTAGAATAATACGTAATTTTATCTAGTGTTTGATAATACACAACATAAACATTAGATTGTAATTATTTAATCCAATTGGTTGTTTAGTTAAAGAATTATTTCATTGTATTAATGTTGAATTAATAAAAATACCCTCAATCAGTGTTTATTACATTTATAACAACTTAATTTTATCTGTTTGAGGGTTATAAAAGTAATTGAGTAGAATAATACATTTTAATTTGATTATAATACCATATCTCTTGGTGGTATTAAAATACTTATATTACCAGCTCTCTTGGTGGTATTAAAATACNTGTTGAGTTTATTTTATAAGCATATAATTTACTGTTGGATGTCACAATCATATGACATTAATAAATACTAGGAAAAAAAATATATGTATGTATACCCCACCGATTAAGGGAGAGGGATTGTTTGAAAGTAATGACAATGTACAAAATCGTCTTATATAATATCAACAGTCAAGTGTATGACAGTGTTATTAATGAGACAATTAATAAATCAATTAATGACAAAAGATAAATATTGAGTCAACACACAGATATATAGTAATTCGATCCGAGTAACCTACTCTACTTCAAAAAATGCCAACAGTGACTAGAGAACATTTATTAATTAATAAAGTAAGATAGAGAAAACTCCGGAAGATGTACAATAGCTGGGAGAAAAAAATACTATGTGTGGGGTGTGTAAAGATGTGTCCTCTCGTGTGAAGAGGATTTACAATTTATAGGCATTGAATCTTAGTTGAGACAGTGACGTAAAAGTAAACACACTAGTCATTTGGGAGAATAATTACAATAGGTAAGTTCAATTAAAAATAACATTGATCTTCGAGAGTGAATATCTCGTTGATTACTCTTCATGTGCTATAATCTTTTGGGACCCCTTGGACCTTAGAGCGGGTCAAATTGATGAACTGTGTTTAACCTGCTTTGTGACTGATTTAGGCTCCATTAATTGGTTGGCGCAAACCTAGTAAGAATTGGGCTAATATTAGAATGACCAAAAAATGAAACTAAATAATGTGATATTATTATAATTGTGTTGTTGGTTTTAAAAAATAAATTTGTCTAATTATGATAATATCACATAATTTAATTTATATTTTTATCTCATTTTTTAATCAATGTAACACAATTTAATGCTTTCTTCTCCTCACTATAAAATATCTATAATACTCCTTAATTACTCATAATTATCCATAAATTTTAATCCTTGTTTGTCCCTTTTAGATTTAATTCTTTTGGAATCACGAATATCATGTGCAACCACCCCTTTGTTAATTAAAAGACCACCGTTGGTGTATTGTAATATTGAATCAAAACCAAACTTATATTATATTCCACAATTGATGATTTAAGAGAATATAGTACAACTGATTTGTAGGTAAACCGCAAATAGCGGCATCCAAACGCTAACAGCCTAGCGTGACAACTGCTTTTAGTCCCTCTCTCGTTGGTATACTACGGACTCATTCGATTGCCGTACTAAAAATAGTGAATTATTTAAAATAATTCAGTTTAATATAATATTACAGAATAAAAGGTAAGATTAAATCAGGAATTAGAATAATACGTAATTTTATTTAGTGTTTGATAATATACAACATAAATATTAAATTGTAGTTATTTAATCCAATTGGTTGTTTAGTTAAAGAATTATTTCATTGTATTAATGTTGAATTAATAAAAATACCCTCGATCAGTGTTTATTACATTTATAACAACTTAATTTTATCTGTTTGAGGGTTATAAAAGTAATTGAATAGAATAATACATTTTAGTTTGATTATAATACCATATCTCTTGGTGGTATTAAAATACTTATATTACCAGCTCTCTTGGTGGTATTAAAATATTTATATATTACAGGTCTATCGTATAAAAAATATACGATAAGTATACGCTTTTAAAATTAATACGATATCAAATTTGTTTACCAAACAAAGTATTAGGCCCGATTAAATAAAAAATAGTACAATCCAATATTTAATCCCCTCATAATACGTCTACTAAACGAGTCATGCGAGTAACTCATGCTCGAAGGTATGGTACAATATGAATGATTTTGAGAGAAATATTATTTTTAAGCCGTTAAATGATTTTATTTGATACCGTCATATGAGCATATTAAAACTTGTCATGTATTATATTATATATTGTTATAGATACTTAATATAATGATTATACTAAATTATTAATGTTACATCATATAATCAATCAATTGATAATTTTATAAAATGTATTACTTATTTAATTATTTATTATTGACGGTGATAAAGTGGTGTATCCATTAAATAGATTATTTTTCTCAAATTCATTTTGATGTTGATTTCATTGTCAATGCCTATTTATTGGTGTCAAAATATAACACGATTCTATGAATGACGTAAATAAAAAAAAATATATATGACACGATTTATATATATATTAATTATATGCGATTCATTAATTATACGAATTCGATTTATTAAAAACAAATTAATAGATGAACGAGGGACTCTTTTGTTAACAATAAATCAGAGCCACGAACCCGGGTCACCCGTCAAGAGACACATTCCCAACCTAAAAAACACACTCATCTGCATAGTACTATTTAAATATTCACAATTTTCGGATAAATATCGCTTTTCAAATTTCATTTCTATCCTCCCATCTTCTGTTTCTGGGTATGTATTTATGATCTAATCCTCCAAATTCCACCATCCCCAATTCGATTTCTTCAAGCTAAGTGAATTCTGAGTTTTTTTTTTTTTCGGCAATGTTTTCACCATCAACTACCACCGATATTACAACGCTGTTACTGGACAGGACAGACGACGATGATCGCCGCGAATCACTTCGCCGGCAGACTCTCCGTGAGGCGTCACGTTTACTCCGGAGAGTGAGTAGCCGTCGATTGATGCGTGAGCCGTCAATTGTGGTCCGCGAGACAGCGGCGGAACAGCTCGAAGCACGGCAGACTGATTGGGCCTATTCGAAACCCGTGGTGATTCTCGATGTAGTTTGGAATCTAGTTTTCATCGTGGTGGCCACGGCGGTTTTGATTTTGAGCAAGAACGAAATGCCGATGGTGCCATTGAGGCTGTGGATTCTTGGGTACATTTTGCAGTGCGTGTTACACGAGGTTTGTGTGTGGATGGAGTTCAGGAGAAGGAGAAGATGGAGAGAGGGTGAAGGAATTGGAAGTTCGGGAGGGTATGTTACCTTAGCTCAATTGACTGAGGCGGGCACTAGGTATGTTTTTTGAACGCTATAGTCTATAGACTCTATACAATAGACTGATATGTAATGCAAGGCTTGCTGATTGACAAAGTTCAAACGTTTAGAGGTGTTTGTATATTTACTATATATTACGAGGCTTATTTACTCCATTGATTCGGTTCCATAGATTATTGGGTTTTTTTACTTTTTTTCCCTGAGTAATATGATGGGATGGCTTAATGTTCTGAATTTGATGCAGTTAGGCAGTGGGTCTCAATATAGATTTAAATTTGACTTGTTAATTGTTTATCAGATCAGTATAGAGGTTTGTGGCCTTACACTTCATCAATCTTGGTTTCCTTTTATTATTTGGTTTAGTGATTGATAAACAGGTTGTTATGATAATACCTGCGTAATCTATGTATTTGGGCAGTGTTTTAGGAATCAGGGTATATTACATAGAATACAGTTAGTACTTACATATGTACACTTATATTCTCTCATCATTAAGTTGTATTTTGAATTCAGTACTGTGGCGAACCGTTTGGAATTCTCAAATACAGTGTTTTCATTCATCTGGTGGCTCCTTGGATTTTATTGGGTTTCCGCGGCTGGACCAGCATTGGCGCAGTACTCCCCTCACCTTTACTGGTTTGTGTAGAAATAGTTTATATTGTTGCATTGATGATTTGGGCCTTTGTTTTTTTTTAATTAAACCTAATATTCTTTGTGCAATTTTGGAATGCAGGCTTTGTTTGATTTTACTGGCTTTTGATGTTGCCTTTATCTTTTTTTGTGTTGCACTGGCATGTGTCATTGGTATGGCGGTTTGCTGTTGCCTTCCGTGTATTATTGCAATTCTTTATGCCATGGGGGGTCAGGTAACGCATGTACACCTCTCTTCATTTGCATGTTTTATTTGATATCTGATTTGGCTTTTATCTTCATATCATCATCTAATTGTTATAATCATTGTCATTCGGTGCTTAAAATTTTAAAGTTCACGTCAATAGTGCAACTGCTGCACAAAACAATGCTTTTAACCACATGGAGATTGTTTGTGTTGGCATTCTTACATATTGAGCTTTGTACTTGCACCAACATATGTGCAATCACAGGCTAAGAAACATGGACAAGGATATGGCACGACATGGACACGCTAACAGGACATTTCTAAAAAATAGGTCACGAACATGTTGGTGCACACCATAGATAATTGTATTTTATATATAAAATTATATAATTTATTGCAAATATAATGATAATGATATATTATTCATAAAAAAATCATCTAGTCAGTTAGTGTGAAATTTTAAACTAACATTATAACAATCAATAATCATCAATTATTTCGTAAACGTGTACCAGACACATAATTTAAATGATTGTTCTCATTTTCTCAATTGCTCTCTTCTAAATCTTTATATATTTTTTGATCTTCTTGTTATATTTTGAGTACAACTTTAACATGCCTAGTCTTGATCATTATATGTTTTCTCATAGTATAAGATACTTAATAGTAAAGTTTTTGAACTTTGTTATCTCATCTAAAGAGAGTAATTCTCTTGTACTTTTCATCTTAAGGAAGTATATTAACTATGAATGGAGTTAAATCAAGTATCAAGCTAGCAGCACTAGATTATATCTTGAATATCTTTTAGGTTCTGTATCGGTCAATATTTCAACGTGCTAGTTTCCTCTAGAATAGGCTTTTTATGCATATACATAGTTGTGAATGTTCTACAAGCTTTAGATTAGGTTATGCTCTCTATTTTGGGGTCATTCTTTGCAGAAGTTCATAGGAAGTGTATGACCTTGAATTCTTGTGATCATTTCACTATTGAGTGATTTTTATGTCCATGCTCATGCAGCATTTATTATAAAAGTGAGTGTTGTGCTGGAATTTTGGTTTGTAAGTTGTAGTAGAATATGACGCTGAAACTTAGAAGATATGAGTATCAATGGGCTTTGGTTTAAGCTTTGTCATAATATTTCTCCTGATTGTTTCCATTATTTTATTCCTACTTTATTTGAATCAGGACGGGGCAACCAAAAAAGACATCGAGCAGCTCTCCAAATACAAATTCCAACGGATTAATGATGTTGACAAACTAAATGGTGAGATACAAGGACCGTGTGGAGGAGTAATGACGGAATGTGGCACAAACACACCCACTGAACATGTTATTTCTCTGGAGGATGCTGTATGTTGTCCAACTTAAAGTTTTTATTGAATTTTATTTCATGCTGTGTTTCTTAACTGCTTTTGTTTAGTTATTAAAAATTTATAACCAAGTTCATTTTCAGACCTCTGCCTGAGTTTATGTTTATGGAGATCTGCAGGAGTGCTCCATATGCCTTTCCGCTTATGTTGATGGAGTTGAACTTCGAGAACTTCCTTGCAGGCATCATTTTCATTGTGTCTGCGTGGACAAATGGTTGTGCACAAATGCTACCTGTCCTCTCTGTAAGGACAATATCAAGAAGATTGACAATCATGGCAGTGAGGAGGTATAAAATGATAGTTTGTTTGGGGAGGCATAAATGACAATTACTTGGGGTTTTGGTTGAGATGTCTATGCCGGTGCACATTGTTCTAGCTAGAGTGTTTTAACCCACTCACAAGCCTTTTCTTCCTCATCTTGTTTGTCTTTGTCTTTCTGTCTTCCTAGTATGTTTCGCTGTGGTGTGTTTGTGTGTTGTGCTCTGGTATTGGTGGATGACTTTGTACATATGGTTCTTGCTGGGGAATCTTTATGGTTTTATTTATTTATTTATTTTTCTTTCAGTTTGAACCTTTTGGTTTTCATATGAATGAAATTTTACTCTTCATAAAACCTGTATAGCAATTTTGGCACTACAATGTTTATACATGTATATACAATGTTATGGTCTATAATATTGTCCGATGAAAGAAACCCATTATTGATTTCCATCTAAATGTGATGGATTTTTCCATTTTGGGTAAGTGTTGTTTGTGGAGATTTGATTTGGAGAATCCAGGGCCATTCTTAGAAGCTGTTAAAAACCTCTTGGATTCGATTATTGTGCAGTTGATGATTCTTTCATTGTATACTTTTTTTTTACTTATGGGCAAAAAAGAGCGAGAGAGCTGAGCTGGTATTCGTTTGGGCACACCATTGGCTTATCCGGAACTCAAGATAAATCCTAAAAAGACTTTACTCATTTAATTTTATTCTATATCTATATAATAAAGTACAATATAATCAAATTCTAAAAAATAAATAAAATAAATTTTATTTTTCGGAATTGAGATCATTTTAAAATTTTATTTTAAAATTAATCTGACGACTAATATTAACACTTTAAATATAATAAGAAAANCTAAAAAGACTTTACTCATTTAATTTTATTCTATATCTATATAATAAAGTACAATATGATCAAATTCTAAAAAATAAATAAAATAAATTTTATTTTTCGGAATTGAGATCGTTTTAAAATTTTATTTGAAAATTAATCTGACGACTAATATTAACACTTTAAATATAATAAAAAATATATATTTTTAAGAGTATGTCTGAGGTTATTTTTTAAATATGTTTTTATAATTTATAATTTCTCATAAATACTTTTAAAAAAAAAGTTGGGTTTGAAACCACTTTACCACCATCACCACTACTATCNATTTTTTAAATATGTTTTTATAATTTATAATTTCTCATAAATACTTTTAAAAAAAAAAATTGGGTTTGAAACCACTTTACCACCATCACCACTACTATCGCCACTTCTCCACCACTACCATCATAATCACTACCATTACTGCTGTCACAATCTTTGTTATGACAACTACCACTACCACCATCTTCGTCACTTCCTTCATCTTCCACAATAAATGCTACCACTGCCCCCACCATTATCGCCACCACCACTACCAATACTTTACCACCATCACCCCCCATCATCATCCATACCTCCATCGCTATCACCACCACCATTGTCGCTATCCTATTACTATTGTCACTGTCCCACCACTATTCCTTACCACTATCATCCTTACCGCCCCACCACCACCCCCACGACTATCATCACCACTGTCACCCCCCCCCACCATCATCTAGCATCACCATTCAGCACTATTGTCATATTATTCTTATATTTGTTATTATTACTACAATCATCTAACTACCGCCATCTTCCATTATCAGCACCTACTAACACCATTATTGCCCACCATCACCTTTATCACCACCACCCCCACTACCTTCACCACCACACCTACTGCCCCCACCACCATCATCACTATTGCCACTCACAAATGTCACCAGCAATATAGTCGTCATCCACCACAATCATCAACGTTTTCCATTACNCCATCACCTCTATCACCACCACACCTACTGCCCCCACCACCATCATCACTATTGTCACTCACAAATGTCACCAGCAATATAGTCGTCATCCACCACAATCATCAACGTTTTTCATTATCGTTCGCGCTCACTACAATCAGTGCTTAAATTCATTTTTCTTTTCCCTTATTTTTGTGATTTGATTTTTGGTGTGAATATAAATTTGTTTATTATTGATCATTTTTTTATTACTCTGTATCTTTAGGCACGAAAAATAACTAATTTTTATAATAAGATAACTCACAAGTTAAATTTTATTCTATACATATTTTCCTCCCCAAAAACATTACATAATCCCATTTCTATCACATGCCCAATTATTTTTATATATGATGAAATAATAATTTAATATATTTTTTATTTCAAACATTACCTATACACGATAGTATATATATGTTGAAAAAATTTGATCGGATTACGAATTTTGAAAAAAAATTGTTGATATTTTGAAATAAATAATGGATAAAAAATGAAAGAATTTTTTTTTTTATTATTTAATATAATGAGATAAATTTTGTAAATTTTATATTTTATCATACATTCATGCACGAATTATTACTAGTCTATATATATAGATAGTAATTGACAACCACGACAGTGAGGAGCTATAAAATGATAGTTATTTGGAGAGGTGTAAATAACATAATTGTCCTATGAATGGCCAAACCCCAAAACAATTATGTCATTTGAAAAAAACCTTTTAGAGAGGAAAAGTATGTCACAATTAAATGGAGAGGTAAAATCTTGAGAAATTAAGGACTCGACCAATAACCAATGGTAAAACCTAAAAAATATTTGGTTTCTCAGTTGAATTATATTTTGCCTATACATTTAATTAAATCGAGTTCAATNGAAATTAAGGACTCGACCAATAACCAATGGTAAAACCTAAAAAATATTTGGTTTCTCGGTTGAATTATATTTTGCCTATACATTTCATTAAATTGGGTTCAAGNATTAAATGGAGAGGTAAAATCTTGAGAAATTAAGGACTCGACCAATAACCAATGGTAAAACCTAAAAAATATTTGGTTTCTCAGTTGAATTATATTTTGCCTATACATTTAATTAAATCGAGTTCAATTTTTAATAGGTTGATTGATCATACTTATTTAATAAAATGAATGGATACGAGAATCATCATAATAATTTTTATATATAATCTAAATCTTTTAATTATAAGTTAATCGAACACAAGTTATAAAAATTTGACAATACAAAAGGATGCATTACTAACGATCTACAAAGTCGGTGGTGCGCGCATATATAATTCAAAGTTGAAGAAAAAAAGAGGAAAAAGAAAATAAGTAACTTGCCAAAAAAGAAAAAGTGAAGGAGCGATTTTCAAAATTGGGTTCACACACGGTAAAAGCGTGAGCGCGGAGTCCCCAACTTTCCATATCTGATCTCTCTCACAGTCTCACACCATTTATAGCCAACGACGGCACACGTTTCACTCTCCTCTGGCTTTTGCTCTTGCTCTTGTCGTCTACATAGACGACGATGGAGTCTTCTCTGTTACAACGTTACCGTCGCGATCGCCGGAAACTTCTCCAATTTCTACTATCGTCGGGATTAATCAAAGAAATTCGTACTCCGTCTGGTCCCACCACATCGATCTCCGACATAAATTTCGACGCTCTCAGCGCCGATCATGTCCTCGAATGCATTCAGTCCAGTATGTATAAAGTTCTATCTTCATTTCTGTTTGCTTGCCAAAAATCTATATTAGAAAAAAAGAAAGAATGAAACTAATCATATGTTTTGCGAAACATAAAGAAACACAGCGTTTTTGTTTTTACTTTCTTTTAGTCTCGTTTTCTAGGCAACCAAACAGCTTTTGACAGAAGTTTACGGCATGTTAATACTGTGAAATTGCCTCAACTGAGCTGTAATCTGGCTTTGCCCGAGTTGGGCTATAATGTATTAGTTGAATTTGGTTCTGATTGGGTATCTTGATTGAGACTAGGTGGAGTACTTGATATATCCAAGGCAACCACAAAAAAAGTTGAGGAGTCTTCATATCCAGCAATGGTAAGGCAAAAGATTCTGTTTACTGATGTTACTATGTTATTAGTTGTTACAGTTATGTATTAATGTTAAAGTTGGAATAAATGAACTACAGATGGTTACTTAGTTATTCTATTCAAGCCCTAAGCCATTAACGAGTCACTCAAGAAATAAAAGCATAACCAGTTTGCTACCTTGAATGACTTGTTGTTTGTTTGTCTCTCATTGACAAGCAAATACATGTCGTGCACGTGTACGTTTGCATATTTTATATATTATTTTAGGCCTGCGCATATAAACATATGCAATTGTTTGGCCTTTAATCTGCTGTAGGCACCCTGATGGGGCTAGATATATGCATGATGCATGGGAGTATTAGCAAACCATAGATATTACTTACAAAACATTTTATAGAGATGATCTAGCCTGCCATTTTTTCCATTTTTTTTTTGTTTTGAGTGAAAATAAGACCACAAGGATAGGGCTATACCCAATCTAACTGTTCCTGATCCCCAGAATAGAGACTAAATCGAGTATTTGTTTAATGTGACTGACCAAGCTAAATTGCATAGGGTCTTGGAGTTATTTATTGGTAACAACTTACAAAGTCCTTGTGATGCGGGTGGGATGGGATGGGATGAAGCTGAGGTAAAGACGAGAACGGTTTTATAGATTTGAAAGTTTGCATAACAAATATTTTGAAGGAAAAAAAGGTTGGCTTAGATATACACTATTTTTAGGTTATGGTAGTGATTTTACCTACTCCATCAATATTGAGGAAGCAAACTTCAATTTTTCTTCACATATCCCAAATCTCAGTACTTTTGGCACAAGGATTTGTTTGGGGCAAAAGAAACAGGTTTATCTGAAAAATCTAAAATTCCTGAAATTCTGTGTCCTTTGAAACGAGGGAGGACAAATCTGTGGATATCATTTGAATTTTTTTATTTTTTTTGTAATGGTAAAAGCTGTGTCCTTTCTATTCTGTGTGCAGATACTCTCTCCATTAGGGGATTTTTATTTCCTTCTTTCAGATCCAGAGGCAGCTGGATCTCCTCCTCGCCGGGTGCCTCCTCCTATTCAGGTGAACCAGACTGACCATTGTGAATCATGCCCATCTGATCTGCCGGGTCATTTAGGTGGTCGAAAAGTTGCGATATCAAGGGATGAATTCAGTTTATTATTTACAGACCCTGAACCTGCAGCCTCAAAATCTGTAAAGATTGTACATATTTCTTCATTAGGACTACCCAATTTGAAAACAGGTATCTGTTGGTTTGATTTCTATCTAATACTGCTGTCTTTTTTGGGTTGTTTTTTCTGTTTTTATATCTTGGTGAAAAAGTTGTTCGCTTTTTTTTCCTGGTCATCACATTTTAATGATGGTCATGTTTTTATATTTGTCTTGAGAAACAATACTTTTTTGAGTAAACTGATACATAGTTTTAGGAATTCTAAAGGATTATCGGATGACGACTTGCGGGAATCAGCATATGAGATATTGCTCGCATGCATGGTATTTGCTGGGTAATCTCTCTGCTTCTCTCTCCCTCCTTCCATCCTCCCTCCCCAGGCTGTGTGTGCGTGCGTGCGTGTGTTGTGTGAGTGTCAGTGAGCGAGTGTTTCGGATGCTTCTGCATCTGCCTTTATACATTCACTGCACTTCATTTGCCTCTTGCAACTTTATACAGCTCTTGATCTGATGTATACCAAATATCTCCCTTTCTCTTTTCCTTTCTATGCTTTTTGCTCTTTGGACGTCTAGGGTTGAAGTTCATTCTTTTGGGGATAAGAAGAAAGAGAAGAATTCTAGCTTTCTGGCTGGGTTGAAGAATAAAAGGGATAAAAGACATCCACGGTCTCAGTCTCCCGAAAGCCATTCAGAGCTTGTTGACACCATTCGTGCACAAATGCAGGTAAGCTATGATGCCCTTTTTCCTCTGTTTCTTTTTATACTTCTGCAGCAATTTCTATGCATTGATATACATATTGTGCAGTAAAATGTTGACAATGGGTACCCAATTTTCCAGGCTTTTGATTTATGTGATAGCATGTTATTGATCTTCCTTTGTCACTCGTATTACTGGCTTGCATTCTAAGTGTCATAATGGTCAACATTTTCTTTTTGGTCTGAATGTACTACCCTTCTTAAGTAGCTCAGATTTCCACTGACTTTACTTGTTTGTGGGTAGCTGAACTAGCACAAGAACTTCTTAGTGCGTGAAAGCTATGGTTTTTTATGATGTACATAATGTGGACTATAACTTTGAAATTCCAAGAATGCTACCTACATGTGTTATATGGTGTTTCAAGGTCAAAGGATTGCTCATAGGTTCAAAGTTAGCGGTAATATTCAAGACTGCAAACTTATGATTGGGATGGAACATGTAGGATGGGGTGGATTGGGACTATAACAATTCATGTTTTCTTTGTGAGAACAAAAGGATCTGACCTTCAATTTCTGGTGACAGAATTTCAATGCTTGATATATTTGAAATCGATCTCCTTATAACATCCAGAATGCCTCCTTCCAATCTTCTTTTGAAAAGTCATTGGAGTAGTTTGATTGTGTTAATTCTACTACTTGAATATGAGCCTATGGAGTGGATTAGATACAGCTTACTTATTGAATTGCCCAAGGAACCTTTTATGGTGCTATCTACATTGTATCTTTGTCACAGCCTTTGTTGCTAGACGTAACTATGTCTTTGGCCCTTGCTAATATTGTATCAGTAAGCGTAACTATGTCTATGGCCCTTGCAAACCTGTAGAATTCCATTCTGAAAAGTGGCAATAGATGTGTTTAGAGTCACAAAATGTGGATAAATTGATTATTATGTACATGATGATATTGCATAAATTTTTCTACATGTTAGAAAATTTAAGTTCATTATAATATTAAATGATGATAGAAGCCTGAATATACTATTGGGAGTCAAAATAAAAGGGAAAATATCTTGATCTGGCAAGTCTGTCATGTTTAGTGGACTAAGCAGTTTTATACAGACATATACACCTAGTACAACTAAACTAAAAGTGTATGACGCTGAAACCTTGTACCCAGAAATGTTATGGAGTTCTCTTTTTGATAAATTCTTCTTTGGAGTCATTCAAAAATTTCAAATGATTTGGCCTCTTCATGGCATCCTGGCTGGCCCGGCAATTAGCTACCCCTTAACCAGCCATTTTTTTAATGGACTTTATTTCTGCTCTCCTGAACGGTACTAAAAACGAAAAATTGAAATAAATAGATTCTCTTGTAACGTCATGCCTCTCCTAATGCATTTCTTTTTCTGTGTCAACCTTGATGCGTTGTTTCAATAATTTAAGCAGGCAAGATATGTAGTTTTCAGTTTTTATCTGTTTGTTTTGCTGACATAAGTGATTCAACTAATATTTTCCAGCTCAGTTCCTATACTGCTATGATTGAGAGTAATAAGTAAAATTTCTCCTTTACTAGATTTCAGAAGCAATGGATGCATTTGTTAGACAAAGATTGGCGGAGTTTGCTTCAAGGAGAGCATGTGGACAGATAGATGTTCCTCAAATCTTATTGGGGCTTTTAAATGGCATAGTCAATTCCAATTTTCTTAATGAAAAATCATATACACAATGGAAGAAGAGACAAGTAAGGATCATCATTGTGTTTTGTTTTATTACGAGTTCTTTCCTTTTAACAGAGGTTAGTAGACCTTGTAAATGGCATAGTCAATTCCAATTTTCTTAATGAAAAATCATATACACAATGGAAGAAGAGACAAGTAAGGATCATCATTGTGTTTTGTTTTATTACGAGTTCTTTCCTTTTAACAGAGGTTAGTAGACCTTGTAAATGGCATAGTCAATTCCAATTTTCTTAATGAAAAATCATATACACAATGGAAGAAGAGACAAGTAAGGATCATCATTGTGTTTTGTTTTATTACGAGTTCTTTCCTTTTAACAGAGGTTAGTAGACCTTGTAAATGGCATAGTCAATTCCAATTTTCTTAATGAAAAATCATATACACAATGGAAGAAGAGACAAGTAAGGATCATCATTGTGTTTTGTTTTATTACGAGTTCTTTCCTTTTAACAGAGGTTAGTAGACCTTGTAAATGGCATAGTCAATTCCAATTTTCTTAATGAAAAATCATATACACAATGGAAGAAGAGACAAGTAAGGATCATCATTGTGTTTTGTTTTATTACGAGTTCTTTCCTTTTAACAGAGGTTAGTAGACCTTGTAGCTCAGGATAAATAAAGAGCTGTTGTTGCATTCTTATTATCCCTCATAACGAATAAATTATGGAGACCCTGTATATTTATAGAACACCTTGCATGATGTCTTAACTATAAACAGGATTCTACAGTACCCAGTGTGGGTAGTATTTATTTGGATATCGTAAAGGTGGTAGAGAGATTGGAGGCATCTGTTTTGCTTATAATGCTTAGCCAGCCACTGAAATTGTTGTACTATGCTAGTCTGAGCCTTATCCACCCCAACTCTGGATTTTGGTGTGTCAATTCAAACCTAGTTCTAGAAAATAAAGTTGAGCCAGGCCCAAAGCAAATGATTATTGATATCCTTTTTTTTTTTCTTACTCTCCCGTTCCCTTCCTTTTTTGACTAAGTATATATAAATATCATCTCCAAAACTGTACTATTGTTGTTAGAAATTCTTGATATAAATATTATCCTTTTCTTTTCGATGAACATAGAAAAATTAAGATTACTAATGAATTATTGACTGTAGCCTTGAATTTTTTAGTTCTGTGTCGATATCATACTTGCTGGTTACAGGTTTGTAGCTATGGATGGTCCATGCCCGCCCATAATTATATACTGTGTTAACTAAATGACAAGCCTTGATGTCCCTATGAAGTTAGTTATGTTTCTCAGTCATTTAGGCCAAATTAGAAGGCACTTCTAAGTAATTTATCTACTGAAGGATTGCAAAGCCCAATTATGCCAATTAAATGTGATTTCCAAGTCTTATATGAATTTAAACTTTGCTAAAATTGTCATTACCACTTTCATATGATTGTGACTAGCAAATGGTTTTGTAGGCAAATATTCTTGAAGAAAGTCTCACTTGTACCAACTGCATAATGGATGAACAGCAAACTGTTGGGATTTCACTTGCTAAAATCAGAAATGCAGAGGCACGTGCACATCCTTCTCTCACTTAGCATCTTTTGCAACTTATATCAATTCTTCGTTGAAGTAACCTATTTTATCGTGTTTTAGGAANTAAATGGCATAGTCAATTCCAATTTTCTTAATGAAAAATCATATACACAATGGAAGAAGAGACAAGTAAGGATCATCATTGTGTTTTGTTTTATTACGAGTTCTTTCCTTTTAACAGAGGTTAGTAGACCTTGTAGCTCAGGATAAATAAAGAGCTGTTGTTGCATTCTTATTATCCCTCATAACGAATAAATTATGGAGACCCTGTATATTTATAGAACACCTTGCATGATGTCTTAACTATAAACAGGATTCTACAGTACCCAGTGTGGGTAGTATTTATTTGGATATCGTAAAGGTGGTAGAGAGATTGGAGGCATCTGTTTTGCTTATAATGCTTAGCCAGCCACTGAAATTGTTGTACTATGCTAGTCTGAGCCTTATCCACCCCAACTCTGGATTTTGGTGTGTCAATTCAAACCTAGTTCTAGAAAATAAAGTTGAGCCAGGCCCAAAGCAAATGATTATTGATATCCTTTTTTTTTTTCTTACTCTCCCGTTCCCTTCCTTTTTTGACTAAGTATATATAAATATCATCTCCAAAACTGTACTATTGTTGTTAGAAATTCTTGATATAAATATTATCCTTTTCTTTTCGATGAACATAGAAAAATTAAGATTACTAATGAATTATTGACTGTAGCCTTGAATTTTTTAGTTCTGTGTCGATATCATACTTGCTGGTTACAGGTTTGTAGCTATGGATGGTCCATGCCCGCCCATAATTATATACTGTGTTAACTAAATGACAAGCCTTGATGTCCCTATGAAGTTAGTTATGTTTCTCAGTCATTTAGGCCAAATTAGAAGGCACTTCTAAGTAATTTATCTACTTAAGGATTGCAAAGCCCAATTATGCCAATTAAATGTGATTTCCAAGTCTTATATGAATTTAAACTTTGCTAAAATTGTCATTACCACTTTCATATGATTGTGACTAGCAAATGGTTTTGTAGGCAAATATTCTTGAAGAAAGTCTCACTTGTACCAACTGCATAATGGATGAACAGCAAACTGTTGGGATTTCACTTGCTAAAATCAGAAATGCAGAGGCACGTGCACATCCTTCTCTCACTTAGCATCTTTTGCAACTTATATCAATTCTTCGTTGAAGTAACCTATTTTATCGTGTTTTAGGAATGGGACTTTATGATGTCCCCTTCTGAACGTGCTGAGGTCCTATTAGCCATTAGGCAGGTTGCTTTGGTATTGTCATCTGTGCCTGGACATTTTGGTATTCCAGGTGAAACATACTATTGGAGTGCTTGTTATCACTTGAACATTAGGCTTTATGAGAAGTTACTCTTTAGTGTATTTGACATTCTTGAAGAAGGGCAGCTCATAGAGGTACACATTTTTTCTTTCGTATAATTGTGTGTGTAGTATGTGCTGGTGTTAAATCTTGATTGATACTGGCAGTTGTTTTTTATCAGGAAGCTGATGAAATCTTTAGCATTATCAAGTTGACCTGGTCTATATTAGGTATTACCCAGAAACTGCATGATGCGTTGTACGGGTGGGTTCTTTTTCAACAGGTATACATTTTTTATACTTATTGGAGGTTAGCGTATGTCTTGTTCATTAGTAACTTATTTTTTAATTTGACATGGATGGGTGGTGTATATATATATAGATATGTTTTTGTCATGCTCTGCGTTTATAAGGAGTGTTAGTTTCCTCTTTCTTTGGTTGGTTACTTCGCTTTTTGTTTGTTATAATTTCACATTGATCTCATCTCCTAATTTGAAAAATATAGATTAAGAAGATATTGTTTGGGTTTGATATCACTTAACTCTTCAAGAATTGCATATATTGAGATTTTGACTGGTTAATTGCATCCTGAAGGACACTGATCTCTATTCTCGTTGGATTTATTAAATTTTTTGGTTTATCTTTATTTATTTATTTTTTTGCTTGATAAGTATTGTTTTGGTGATTTCAGTTTGATTGGTTGATTATTATAACATGGTTTAGCGTTTCTTTCTTATATAAAGTCTGATACATGACCTTGGTGCAAATTTTATGTTCTGGAATGACATGGTTTAGCTCTTCTTTTCTAGGATGGAGCATTTATTTCGGGATTAAAGGATTTATAAACTACTGTAGTGTAGACACAGTTCATTTTTGGAAGAATATATAGATGCCATATACCTGAGTTTATGGATGCAGGAAAACATATATACTTCGCTCTTCACCATAAAGTGTGCATTTAATGCTTGTATTTATGGACTTGTAAAGAGTGTAGTTCTTTGGTCGTGGTAGACACTTTTTGTAGTCATAGGTCATAGAGCATACTTATATTTTCCTCTACCACTATTGATGGAGACTCCTTAATGCTCATTGGAATTGTGAGATCTAGAGCGGTTGGGCCTTGGTGCTATAGTCACTTACTAATAGAGAATACAATCTATTTGACGAGGCTTTGTGGGAAGATGTATGATAAATTCCTAGACCAATCACTGACAAGGCGAGTGGTTGGCTAGATAGGGGGCTCATCCCTTGTTGACAGTTAGGGGCCACTTCCATCTGTTTCAAGTTGTCTTGGAGGAAATTGGCTTTAGCCATCATGTTTCATTGAGTTTCTGTGAGTCTTTGGTTCTTTTTGAGAAGGATATCTCTTCCTTAAGCGCTTTGTAACTTTTTATTTCTACCTGGTAATATATAGCTCGGCTTCTTGTGAAAAATATTCACCTTATATGTCAGTTTCACTCTCTTAAATCTAAGGCTTCCTGATTACAATTCGAAGTGGTTTTATTTGTCGTTTTTATGATATGAATTTTACCTAAATTTCTGATGCAATGTTTTTCTTTGGCAGTTTGTTCAGACAGAGGAGGCACCATTACTGGATCATGCAACCAAGGAAGTGAAGAAAGTTTTATATGCTGAAGATACTGATGGGAACGAGGAACGATATATGAATAGCCTACTATGTTCCACATCCAGCAGTGGAAGCGAAATGAGATTAGATTTGATTCAGGCTATTTTTACCTCAATGAGCCTCTGGTGTGACAGTAAACTACAAGATTATCATCTGCATTTTAGTCAGGTTTTGTCTTATTTTTGGCTGTGCTACTTATATCGCAATCTACTTTTCTGATGCGGGTGTAGCCCGCATATCTGATATTTTGTGATATCTGTGGAGTTGTTTTTTTTCCCTAGATGAGTTCTTTTTCCATCTGCCAATATATATCAGCACCGTACTGACTAGTATGTCAGTTTGGAGCTCATGCCGAAATGTTTACTTCCTTTTTATTGTGTTCTTGAGAGTTCATTGTGATTATTGTACCTTGTGTTCCTAATTGAAAGATTCTGTGTCTTAATAGTTGTTTTCTTTCTTTTCCAGAAATCTAGATTCTTTGCGAGGGTGATGACCATGGCATTGGCTGTTGGAATGTACAATTTGGGTGAATCTGGTGAAATCAAGGTAGTGTTTTTGTAACCTTGGGATTACATCCTCTTTGCAGGGGCTAGAGGAGAAAGCCACTTCCATATAGTGCTTATTAAATTTTCAGTCTGAAGCATTCACCGGGCAAAGTCATATACAATGATAGTTGGGTTGAATTATCAGATTGTTAGTTTGACTTCTTCATGCTTCTTCTGCTTACTAAAAGAAAAAAAATCAGGCTTCCTTTTCTTCTTCTGGCAAGTTACTTAAAGATTTGGGGTGCCTGATCTGAAGCGGAATTCCTATTTTATGTTTTTTTAAGAAAAGGAAGAAAAGAACTGCTCCACATCTAGTGGTTTTCACATTCATCTTCAATCTATCCTTCATTAATTTCAGTAATGTGTATGATTCCCATGTTGAGATTTAGATACTCCGTTGTTTCATACTACTATCTTTAGTGTCTGAATATCCTTTCCTACTATTGCAAATTTTCTATTGGGAAAATTTGTCATACTTGCAGTTAACAAATTCTGATAATTTGAGTAAGATTGCTGCCCGAAAAGTCAGAACCTGTATTGAGAGGTCCGTTGAAGCTGCATCCAGGCGGGTAGGTCTTGTGAACAATTGCACCAATGTATAATTGTATGGATGCCCACTAGTCGTAAGATGAAGTTGACCACTGGCTGAATGGTCTCAGGTAGCAGATACAATTGATCTTGGATCCAAAATAGACAGGGCACATCCTTTGGCTCTGCTTGCTAGTGAACTAAGATTGATTGCTGAGAGAGAGCTCACTGTGTTTAGTCCAGTCTTGCATCATTGGTGTCCCGAAGCTGGGATGGTTTCAGCGATATGGCTACACCGATTTTATGGTGAAAGACTGGTTCGTTCTTATTAGAAATAAAGAAATTTTTTACTATTTATGTGCAGCTGGTATACCTTCACTGACTGGAGTTGTTGTTTCATTGATCTATAGGAACCATTTCTCAAGAGAGTAACAAGTCTTTCTGAAGATGTCAGGTTGGTTCTTCATGGAGCTGATGCATTGGAACGTAGCTTGATTGAGCTTTATTCGTCTACATGTGAAGAAAATGGGTTGGATTACTCTTTCACCCAAGAATTTGACCACTATCAGGTCAAGAATTTTTGGACTGATTAACTTGTGTATTTGATTTTGATACTGCTTTTGTCAATAACCTGTTAGTAAAGATTTGCACCTTCTTCCTGTCCTGCATGAATGAACGACCATTTTTGTGTCCCTTCTTTTTATGTTTCTGTATAATTTAAATTCGTCCAGGTGAATGGGGGTAATCTTTTTCCTTTACATTTTTGATTTATTAATTTGGAAGTCTAGGTTTTTAGGATATCCAACTCAAAATCTATTGGCAAGGAGTGGAAATGGCCACAAGGTNCAGGTGAATGGGGGTAATCTTTTTCCTTTACATTTTTGATTTATTAATTTGGAAGTCAAGGTTTTTAGGATATCCAACTCAAAATCTATTGGCAAGGAGTGGAAATGGCCACAAGGCTCATATAATTGAGTCTTGCCCATGCCTTCCTCTAACCCAGCTCTGATACTATCTTGAAGAGTCCAGCCTAAAATCAATTGGTGACGAATGGAGCATCAAGTATATAATTATAAACAAACCTTCAGGTCTTAGTATTTCTATGTGGGATATAAGCTTTTTTCACACCCTCCATGTGGATCAGGACAGCCACGCAGGCTAATAATAACCAGATAAACATACATATTGAGAAATTTGAATGGGTGAGAGATTTGACACACTAACAACCCAATGCTGTGCTTTGATACGATGCTAAGGAGTGTTCAACTTCAAATCAACTGGCACTGAGTGGAGAGGCACATATACTAGTATTAGAGGTTTTATTTTATTGATGTAAGATAAGCTCTAACCACAGCCCTAAAATATAAAAAAGGAAAAAAAAACCTTCTTCTTTGTAGTCCAGCACGTTGGCAAGAAAAACATGTATGATTCAAGTAACATTCACACACTGATTTGGTTGAATTAAAACCATATGCTGTCCACTTTGTTGACATTCTATTAATTGGATGTTTGTTCCTTTCCTTGTATGCAGATTAGCATAATTGCTAGACCAATTATTCTTGATTGGGTGATTGCTCAACATGCACGCATCTTGGAATGGACTGGACGTGCTTTCAATCTTGAGGTTGGTCTTATACTGAGTTGGAACATGTAACCTTTGCTTGCAAATTTATTATGTGACAGCAGTTCTATTATATACTTACATCAATATTAAGGTTAGAAGAGTAAGGGTGATAACAATTGATGAGAGTGTATGAGGCATGAGTGGTGGTATGATGGTATCATGAATTCCTCTTCTCTTTAGTCTTTCTGCACACCTTATGATCAGTAGTAAAGTTGAAGTTAGGTGGTCAGTGGTGAAAAGCAGATGAACTCTAGTTGTCTGATGTGTGAAATACTGTTTTGGATATACTTCTGCTACTAGTGTTCACTAGTAGACATGGATTTTTACTTGATAAGTTAATGACATTTTCACAGGATTGGGGACCTTTATCATATCAGCAAAAACAAGCAGCTTCAGCAGTTGAAGTTTTTAGGATCATAGAGGAGGTATGTGTCTGCTGATACGATATTTATATGTAACGAAATGTTTTCTTAAATTTTGCCAAACAAGAACATTTTATTTTTATTTAATCTGAGACTGCCACAAAGGAGTTTGTTTCCTCCTTCACTGTAAACTTCTATTTCCATGTTCTTACTATTTCAATCAAGAGTTTCCACGTCGGTATATCCATTTTGTGTTGTGTCCATGTTTATCCCACCATCCATGGCATTAGATATTTGGATTCTTATTTGATTGTTCATTCTTTTATTTGTTTTTGATTAGCTCATGTCTCATACCATTTTGTGGCCCTTATATTTCACTTAATTTGCAGACTGTGGATCAATTCTTCGGGCTGAATCTGCTAATGGATATCACACACTTGCAAGCTCTTCTGTCTATACTTTTCCACACTTTGGATGCATATTTGTTGAATGTGGTTAGCCAGTTGGGTACTGTCTCTTTTGAAATCTGGCAACATATCAATTTGAGTATCTTGCTGTTTATTCTTGCTTCTACTCTAGTCTTGCTTAGTGAAGCCTATTTTAATGCATATTGAGTGAAACTTTTTATCTATTACTATTTATTTTTTCTTAACGATATTGCTGGGGACATGTGATGCCAGACCAAAATACCATTTTGCTGAGATTTAGAGAGAGAATTATGCAGACAGAAAAAAGAGAAATTGAGTGTCTGTGTGTGTGAGAGAGAGAGAGAACTGGAAGAAAGAAAGAGACCCTAGAGAGATTCAATTTTGTATTAGCATTCAATATTTGTGTAGGGCTCATATTTTTAGGCGATCGGCGGATTGAAAAAAGGGATTTAGAGAGAGAATTATGTAGACAGAAGCCAGAGAGAGAGAGGAATAGATGAGAGGAAGAAAATAGAAAGAAAGAGACGCCTTAGAGAGATTCAAAGTTGCATCAGTATTCAATATTTGTCCAAGGCTTAAATTTATCGGTGGCTGCCAAACATGAAAATAACTATAACAATATTTGAATTCCAAAAATTTTGAAATAATCCCAATAAGTCCTAAATTAAAAAAAAAAAAAACGTAACTCAGTCTCTAAATTGTAATATAGTCCAAGCTTCCTCAAATCCTGTGTGCTTCCCACCAGTATGGTGGAGTACATGATACTTTTGATTGGTGTCATATTGGCAGAGCTGGTGGTTGTATAATGGAATGGTGAAATGAAATTGATGTTGCTAAAGATTTAGTGAACTAATAAAGGAGATTCTTAACAAAAAAAAAAAAAAATCATACAAACAATAATACTTTATGGTGGGCGTTAATAGATCAATATAGGTTGCTCTACCTTTGAAGAATTTGTTGTGTGCTGAAGCTTGGTCTGTCCTAAGTTATGGATGCCCCTTCAAAATTGACACTATTTAGCGAGAGAATGTTAACAAGAAAAGAGATATGTTTGTAGGACGGTAGTCTTCCTAAAGACACATGAAAGGTAGGTGAGATGAAGACCAAATCCTTGGTTTCCACTTGTTAGCAATCAATGCATAAAGCTTGGTAGTCAACATCATCCATGCACCAAGTACTGCTACCGAACCTGGCCCAACTCGACTTGTTTATTCTATGAAGGTCAAATTCGGAGTACTTACTCTGTGATATTGCATCCTGGGGGTTATTCTGGTGCACATCATTCTAAACATGGTCTCACTCTGATGTGGCGATGCTTCCCTGGGCTTAGGAGTAGGGTGATGATGCTAGCAGTATAGCATCAAGTCTATGCCACAGACCTTCATGTCAAGATGCTTGGGGGTACATAGTTTGGTGGTCAAGGACTTATCAAGATGTGTTTCCCTTCTCTGCAACCGGCTTTATAAGAGAAATTAGCCATACATCCCTCAGAACATGTGGCAGATTCATTCTGACTTGCATGGCTCTTCAGTCAGTTAGCTGGCCTCCATCTTTGTGTAATACAGTATCATCCTCACTCAGTAGTATCCTTCGAGCTTAGATATGCTCTAACCCTTCTTGAGCACATAACTAGCATTGCTTTCTCACGAACCATCTACTTTAAATAGAGGACCTCTCATTCATACCTAGAAGCAGAGAAAATAGACGGATTGGACTCAAGCTCCGTCCTTTTCTCTTCGTTATCTGTACTTTCTTTTTATAGAAATAGTACTATTGCACTGAACCTATCTCTCTCTCCTTCTCTCTCAATATATATGTACGTGTATTGATTGCCTATTTTTGCCTTCACTTACGATATTATGGGATACCTATCTGTGTGCCACCTTCATTTATAGATCCTAAATCCTCATTTATCCTCTACAATGTTGATGTTACCAATATCAAGGATAATGGCGATTAACAAGCATGGGATCTTTTTATTGCATCAATGTGTCAAAGCAACTGGGTGTGAAAAAGGTGAGGTTTCATCCTTTAGTTGGTTTTAGACAACATCATTAGTTGATGCTGCCATTGTGCAACCCCCAAGTTGAGGAGTAAGGGGTATTTTGTTAATATCAACATCATCAGCTTCAAACTCTTCTGTTGTATTAAAACTAGCACTAATGGGTATTTTGTTAGCTACTATAAGGTTATGGAGACTTTTAGAAAGCCATGTGCTTAATCTGTAGGAACAAGTGCAGCATAGACAGTGAAGTAATATGTTCATGTGAGTCAGTAGGGCATTTATTCGGCTGACATGGCTTTCTTTTTCCTTGTAATTTTTGTGTATTCCTCTCTTTAATTTTACTCAAGGCAATGAGTGAACATTGTTTTGAAAATTTGAAGTCTCTCGCTGGTTTTTTTTTTGGTGGCATAATTTAAACTACCCAGTTAAGTGATAGATGTTACTAAAAATGTCTTGAATTGTGCAGTTGAGAAGCACCATCTATACCCTTATGCTCCGCCTTTGACTCGTTACAAGGAAACAACATTTCCTATAATCAAGAAGAAGATGGTTGAGTGTGTACCTCTGGAAGAAGAAGTGAATAATAAGCTGAATGAATTGACGATATCCAAGCTCTGTATCAGACTGAATACTCTTCAAGTGAGTGTATGACTTGTCCTTGGTTGATCACCACTAATCACATAATAATTATACATGCAGCCATAGTAGAAATATTCCTTTTTGTGATGAATGCTTTTATTTAGTCAATGAACTGTCTGGTCTTTTGATTTTTGAATGTGATTTCTTAATTTGTACTTCAAAAGAGGGATGATATACCAAATTGATTGATATTTTTGTTTCACGAGTTTTCTCCTTTTAATGCAAAAGAGGATAAAAGTAATATTTTTGGATGAATTTTCTTTCTTACTCCATGTAGTATTTAGTAAATTTTTGAAAGCAAATGGATGAACAAAATGTCTCCAAACAGTGCTGATTTAAAATTCGAAATAAATATATATATATATATATATATATATATATAT